AGACCAATTTCCTAGGGGAAACACTGAACTGTGAATATTTTTTTCCTCCATTTGTGTTGAATCACATGTGGCTCGTGATGCTCCAAACAAACAATCCCTACCTAAGGCATGTATTAGTATCATATGATCATGCTGTTCTTATCCGTTATGTTCTGCTCTCTTACAGCCATCCACAAAGMCCGTTTCACACACATCTTGAGGGTATTTTTCTCCAACCAGACAACAGATTCCAGCCAAACTGTCCTCTCRTCCGCAGACACATCCTCAGGCCACATACATTCTTTCGCAAAAGCCAATTACGGCTCCTTGTTGAGCTCTGCAAGCGCAGAAAAACCAGCTGAGACACTGGATTCTTTCCTAATTACAATCACAATAAAACGTTAAAATAAAAAACTCCAGCAGCTGGAGTTTCTAAAGGGAACGTAAATGGAACGAAGAAAAGCTTAAAAACAGAATTTCATGACTTCTCTCCAGTCAGAAAGGRCACATCGATGAGAGAAAACCTTTCTCCACAGAGTGCAATTAAGTTCGGCTCTTGTGCAAAGGCACACTCCAGCTAAATTTATAACACATGCAAATCCTCTGGAAGCCTGCGGGACGAATGCTGGCGAGAACATGCAAACGTTGAACAGTTATATCAGGCAAATGAGGAGTCGAGAAGAGGACGGACCACCTACTCTGYACTCAAGAGCTGAATCAGAGCCAGGAGGCAGAAACAGAGCTGGGAGACAGAAGCTGAGTCAGTTTTTAGTCTTTCAGGCAGGATCTCGGCGTGGGTTGGGGGGCGGGAGAGTTTCAACAGGAAGCTGGCTTCTCTCCCACTTCCTGTCCATCTCCAGGAAGTGGAGACTGAACTCAAAAAGGTGAAGGGAGCATTCAGAGCCATCCTCTTTGTGCAACAAGTGAGGCAGAGCTGAACATAAGTTTAGGATGAAACACCTAAACACACGTGGATTAGACACAACTACTGAAGATTTTTCATTACCTTGAGACAAACAAATGRGAAATTCAAGTAAAAAAACAAACAAACAACAGATAGAGGYCTAGAAGAACTGACAGAACAAGTAGTTTTGCTTCTCAAATGATGCCTGAGGAAAACAACATAGCTCTGTAAAGCACCAACATGCCGCCTGAAGCTCTGAGACATAATAATAATCTGATCAAACAGGTCTGAGCACAGAATAAAACTGAGTTTACCAGTTTCACAAACACAACTCGAGTTAGTTTAGTACGTAGCGAGTTGACTAATGATCCATTTAGCTCAGGGTTATCCTTTAAAAAGTTATGAGCATTTCTGCACGAATCAGAGCRGCAACAAGAGCAACTGAGGTTGGCCTTGTTACTTACCGATATCTGAAAGACTTCCTGTGTGTCATCGAGCATCTGGACCCTTATGGAGACTTGGCGCCCCGGAGGCTGGGTGGGAGGGTGCAGACCCGGCTCCAGGGTGGACACTCCAAAGCTTTCAGGGGCACCCAGCCTCTGTCCGGCTGTGGACTGCTTCACGGCTGAATCTGACATTTTGACCGTTGTTTCCGTCTGCTGAAGAGAAGACAGAGCGACAGTTTGTCTCTGGGCTTCAAYGAACAATATCACCTGATTCCAATTAGGATTTCAATCTGGGCTTAAATAAACACACTTATGAATCCTACAGACTTAGGACAGGGTTTTCCTTTCAATATTTCTAGTGTTAGTTTTTATCTAGACTGCAACTATTTGTTCTTGGGCAAATCAGATTTCCATGTAATTCTAACTGATCTGTAACTAACAACAATGTAAATGTGTATAAATTACTGCTGCATAAAAGGGCTATAAATTTAAGATTAGAGTTTTAAGATAGCAGCAACTACCTTAGTCAAAGTAGCCATTCAGAGTACAGAAATTGCTAAATTCTTGCGTGACCCTAATTAGATATTCAGAAATGTAGGTTTATTTAGCTTCATTTGTTAAGAAAAGCTGTAATTTTTAGTAGGTATTGTTTATTTCTTAGTTAATATTTTGCACAAAATTTTGACCACAACCAGTAGCAAAAATCATCACGAGGATAGATACTTGAAGGTGAGCGCAGTTGATCAATAGCCGTGAAATACAAGAACATTGTGAACTGCAACAATATTATATATGCTGTGTATATATATTTTTTTCTTTTTTTCTGTATCAATATTTATTTGTTGTGGTACGTCTGGTTCATGCGTTGGTGGTTTTTGTTTGCAGGTATGATGAGAACATGTACAGGTGTGACTAGAGAAGCGTATTAGAAGCACATTTCATCCAACAGCAACAAAGTGCAAAACTGAAAAGAAACCAGACATTTTGTGCTAAAGGACCACATGGCTCATTCCATAAATGTGTCATAGTAAACAAAACCTAAATGACATTTAGGAAGCACTGAAACACAATATCCTTAAAAAATAAAAAGTTGTCAACATACATGTTTGGCCCTTAATAATCTTCGCTACTAGTTAGGGTCGAAGATTTGGTATGAAATATTAGATAAGAAATAAATAAACTATTTGTCGGGTTGGATCCTCCTGACCTWTATTAAATGGTGCAGTTTGAAAGAGTTWACTCCGGTAGTGTTCCAGCTATGTTGATGTGCAGTTCAGAAAGGTGGGTCTACAATCAATGTAAACAAAGCACTTGCTCAGCTAAAYCCTCCAAAAGCCACATRTTGTCTTGTTGCTGACCTACATAAGGCTGGTTGTAGTGTGTGTAGGTAAACAAACATGGTGTATTCAGACAAGCATTAGAGATCTTTAGATGTAAATAAGGGTGAATATAGCCTGGCCCTTGCCTTCCTACGCAGCTCCGCTCAATTCTAGTTTCCCTTCACTGCTCCGTCTGGGATTCTCCTATAGACAAGGATTTCTTCAGCAGCATATCATTCTGGCCAATCAGAGAACAGAACGTTGATTTTCTGCACAGTGTCTGCTAGTTAGTTTAGCATATGGCAGTGGAGGAAG